TTTCAAAAAAAAAAAAAAAAAAAAAGATACAGAACCTACAATTATATTTTACATTTGTATCCTAGTATGTCAAAAACAGAAAGATAAGAAACAAATAAGTATCAGTTCATGTATGTTCTTCATTAAACCCAATGGATTGTAATAAAAAATTATAATAATTGGGTTATGCATTGCTTTAAGAGTGGCATTATGTATCAATGTCTAAAAAATGGATGAGTGAAAAAAAAAAGATTGTGAACAAAGAAAAACATGAGAACTCAAGATTTTCTGAACTATAACTTGTAGAGCAATTCACTTTAAGATTTAAAACTTTCCTCCATGTATATACAAATAGAATTTGCCAAATAAATCTTAACAGCACTCAAGAGAATGCAGTTGCTGCAAGAGCCAATTAAGCTGGGAATTATACTTCCAGTCTGAAACCTCTCTATTCAGAAATTAAGCCCAGGAATGTAGCTAAGAACTGCAACATTTACCATAAGGGGAGGGTGGGGAATCTTTCTATCTATCTATCTATCTATCTATCTATCTATCTATCTATCTATCTATCTATCTATCTATCATTTTGCTTAGAAAAACTGATGTAATTTTGTTTTGAAGATTATAGGCTTATTAGTTGTATTCTTTTATTTAATAACAAATTCTCTCTGGGAATGCAGAAGAATTCTATTTGTCAGTATCAATTTACATATCTTTCCATGTAGCCACCAACTCAAATGTGTTCTAAAGAGAGGAACTGACAGTTTCAGATGGTGCAATATTACTGGGGCAGATCCAGCTTCAAAAATGGGTGACCAACTACTACCCGTTTCTCCAGCAGAGAAGCTTTGGGAGTTCTAGGTGCATCTCATGATTGCTCCCATATTCACTGTTAAGACATTGGCTTGAATACCAACAACCATTTACTTCTACCATTTTTTCTCCAACACTTTGGTTTGTTTATCATCACTTGAGAATTGTCTGGAGAACTGACAATTCAAAACCTTCCATGCTGTTTTCTGACCCTGAGCTTGCCTTAAGAATAATTACAAAATCCAAATTAGGACAACACAGACAAGTTTGATTTAATTTAATATGTTATTTTTAATAATTCATTGGAAAACAGTGTTTGCTATTATAACCAATAGTATGTGTGTGTGCATGTGCATGTGCGTATGCATATGTGTCTGTTTGGTGCAAACATTATCAGAAGAGTAGTTTTATAAAATAATATAAAATCAATTTAAAGAGTTTTGTATTTAAATGAAACTATTGAGCCATTTCTAGGACAGACTCAAGTAGTGTGCATAGAAGAACAAGCAGATTGATTATATTTGTGAAATCAATAATATGACAGATATTGAAAGACACTGGTCTTTCTATGTTACTATGAACCTTTTCTTCTTCTTAGCTCAGAAACATTTTTCCCTACTGGACACCTAAATAATCTAGCTTTCCCATAACTAGAAAAGTAACTTTAGATAACGGAAACAATGAAAATTTTCAGATGAGAGGTATCCTGTGATTTTGACAGTGAGTAAGGATCTGAAGCAACATTTCCATATCTAAGACAAGGACAGAATAATTCTTTGAGCTTGAGATTACTGGGAGAAATGAGAATGAAAGGATGCTTGAGTCTGCCCATGTTCATTTTTTAAAATTACATAAAATATTCTTCTATTGCACATGTCTTAAAAATGAAAAATAATCTGAAGATATACTGACTTGAAGTAATAGCCCATAAAATTGGGATAAGTAATTTTCCTACATTGCAAAAATCAAGCCAAACTACAATTAAGTTCTGACCCTTGCTATTTTTTTCCCTATAAGAGAAGGGAACATGCTTTAACATTTCCCTAAGGAAAATCCAAGGCACATTAGAAACAAATATTTAAACACACAAACTTTGAGTTATTCAACGCATTGCTACATGTTTATGGTTATTTTTAGGTACTTGATTAATCTATGTTCTCCTTTAATGAATCTGAGCAATTTTTGTACAACTCTGCCTTTTTCCGCCATTTTCTACCACAGATACTAATTTCTTCCAATACTGAGATGATAATCTGTCTCATGAGAATGAATAAACAACTCTGCCATCACCTAAAAGTTAATTTCTTCTTCTTCTAGTAAGTATGTTTTTTCAGGGTCAGATTAAGTGACACTTTATCTTTCAGCAGCATGGTTATCAAGGGAAGTTTCAGAGGAAGAAAAGAAGAGCATCTTCTATGATCATCCATAGAGTTTTGGAGTGTACTAAAAAGTATTTCTTTTCAGTTAGTTAAGAAGGAATAAAAATGATTACACCTTATGCCCCAGTCCATCAGTCAAAAGGATTGTAGAGGTGTGATTAGTACAATGATAACTAAGCAGAGAGGTTCAGAGTGAGGAATGAGAAGTCATCTAATGTTGTTGGGTAGGACAGAATCTCTATGTGTTCATCTGCAAAATACAAACTTATGTTAATTCAATCACATTTTGGCTTCTCTTTGATTTCTGGAAGTCAACAGCAATAGGATGTGAATGCCTATAATTACTTTTTAAAAACACATAGCATTTAAATAATTTCTACATAAGGAGTCTTCCATAGATAGGTGAGATTGCCTATCTTACTTTAACCATAATCAGCTACACAAGTAAGACAGTGATAACTACTAACCCAAAGGTATTAATCTGGATAGGTGAATATACATAAATACTAACAATTCCTTTATCAAAAATTGAATGACATTTACCAATTTACAAAGAAAAAAATGTATTACCATTTGTTTACACACCAGGTTTTGGACTTCATCATCCTGAGCAACCATTTAATATAAATTATTCTGTAAGAAACAGTAGGTAAGCAAAACCACAACTACCTGACTGCTCTTGAATCATCTGGGAGTTGTGCCTCATGTTCAAAATAATTAAACAAAGGAAGAAAAGTGGCTGAATTTTAAATTTACTGTTATTTGCTGCGCAAATATAACTATAGCATCCTTAAAGACAAAAGACCAGCAATATAAGCACTATTTATGGAAAGGAGAAAATGGTATGCAATTATTTTAAATGAAGAGAAGACTCAAATAGGAAAAGATCTAGGCAAGCAACATAACCATAAATATCAATTATTAGAACTTATCAATGTGTTTATTTTACAAAAAGCAGGTTGCTTTGTTTAGAAAGGACAGTGGGAAGAGTATAATTCATAGCAATATGATACATTCTAAGCATTCACTGGATAATTTCTATCAAAAGTAGAAATAGAATCATTTCACAGCTTAAGACATTTCCAAATTTTCCTTAAAACATCAGAGTTGACTTTAGTACCCAAACATGCCTACATCTTGGAATTTCAACTGTTAGAAAGGCTATATTTAATATAAAAATTATCACAAATCCATTACTTCATATAATTGCACATTAGTCATGTAATTAAAAAATTCAAACCTTTGTAATAGGAAAGTTGCAATTGATGTTGATCTAGAAAAGATTGGAGCAGGAGTGACTGACTATAGGAAGAATTACAAAATATGTGGTTATAATAGCAAATCTTGGTTTGTTATTACATGAACTGCATTACCATGATTAACTTCTCATGCTTGTTTTTCCCCTCTTATTTATTTAATTTATTTATTAAATTTGTATGCTGCCCATCTCCCCCAGAGGGTGACTCTTCTACACCATGACATTTCTCCTTCTTCCATGATATTAGCTGGTCTTACAAGTCAAAGTTCTTAATTGTCTTCTTGCAAACCAGGGAATGAATCCCAGCACAGAGAGGAAGAGCAAAACATCCCATAGCTTATTCACATATCATGCTAACTGAAAGTACAAGTTAATGTTTGCCTTCATGCATAACAGATACTTTTGCATAGTCTTATTGTATGTCATTGAAATAACATTTGTAAAAGAGAAGCTGTTTCTATCAGATAGGTACAGGAATATGACTCAAAATTGAGACCATTACCTAATACTTATACACTAAGAGTATTTTAAATAATGTCATGAGTGCCAAATTAAACACAGTTTTCACATATGTAACAGTACTAATATTTTCAACTGAAAATACTGATAATACCCATAAAGTATTTATATAAAAAATTGAAGTACTTGTAATTTCTTTCAGGAATACAGATATAGCAGGAATATAAATTATGATTAGAATCCAATTCAAAATACCAAATATACTGTAACAAATAACATTCAAGTCAAGCAGTTTAAAATATAATCAGCCAAAGAATGTGTTTTAGAGTTGAAGCTTGTCTACAGTAAGGAGGGAGGGAGGGAGGGGGAGAGGGAGAGAGACAGAGAATAGATCTCAAATAGATCCTTGCTGCTGGAACACTAGGCAAGACTGCATTTATTGGTCTTGTTCTACTTGATCAAAATAATGTTTAGAAATAATGTACACATATACTCAGTACAAAAGAAATAGGGCTGAATGAGGCGGCTTTAATTTGGAGATTATATGTCAAAAATCCTGCTATGCTGCCTCATTGTGGTGGGACATGTTCCTGGGAGGGATGAGTGAAGAACACAGGGAATGTATACAAGAATTTATAATCCTAACAGGGTCACCCAAGACAAAAGGTAATCCCAGATGTCAAGCTGAAGAAAGCAGACATCTATATCAGGTAGCAGAGATATAAGAAGATGCTTGGGGCTAATGATCACTTTAGTGACAAGAGCAAAGTCATCATTTCATGCTGTGTGGGAGAAGGAAATGTTAAACCACTCCTATATTTTACCAAGAAAACCACATGGGTAGACAATATAACATAATTGATGTTATAGCTCCAGATGCTGGGCCCCTCAAGTCAGACTTCATTCATCATGATGCTGAGAAAGAGCTGAGGACCCTTTGGAACACTAAAGGAGTTTATGATGTGGCTAGATTAAAGCCTTTAGGACAGCTAGTTACTGACATTGCTATGTAGGAAAAGACACAATCCAAACCTGTAAAGACAGAATTACAGTGGGAACAAACTGAGTATCATAACTAACTGTGGACATTGCCAAGAAGACAATCTGGTCTCTCTTCAGCTCATATAAAGAAAGACAATGTTCTCAGGAAGGAGCTTAACAAAGAATTTCAGACAACTCTTAGAAAAGACAAGAAGCAGTATTACAATGACATCTGTAAAGACATGGAAAAACAAGGGAAGATTTCTAAAAATCTCCAAACTCAGAAGGAGGTTTTAACCTCAAATTGGTATCCTAAACAACACCAATGAACAAACAGTAACTGATTTAAAGACAATAAAAGAAAAATGGAAAGAGTATACTGAAATTCTGTATGGTAGAGATATCAACATACAAGATATCTTAAAAGATATTCCCTATTTACAAGAACCTCTCATACTAAAACATGAAGTTAGATCAGCACCCTAGTGACTACCAAGTCAGAAAACGACAGGGATTGATGGAGTATCTACAGAAATATGGCATGCAACAAAAGAAGAATGAGTGAAAGTTCTAACTAAACTTATGCCAGCAAACCTAAAGAATGACACAGTTGCCAAAAAACTAGAAGAGGTCAGTCTACATATCGATACCAAAGAAAGAAGCCTTAACAGAGTGTGTAAACTATCACACAATATTCTTAATTTCACATGCTAGCAAAATAATGCTTAGGAATACAGCTGTACATGGAAATGGAGATGCGAACCTTCAAGCTGGCTTTAGAAAGGGCCAAGGAACAAAGACCGATGCACACTGGATAATTGGTGGAGTGATCCTGAGTTTTTTTCTCATGCCTTTCTCTTTTCCAGGGCTAAATTCATGTTTTCTCAACAGTTGCTGCACTATTTTTTTTAAAGCCATCTCTATATTCCACTATACCCTAATTGATCATAGAAAGGATTTTGATTGTGTTAACCAAGTCAAGCTGTAGAACGTGCTTAGGAAAATAAGAATCCTGGAACATTTCATTGCCTTCACACAGAACAGGAAGCCACAGCCCAGACAAAGCAAACTGTCTCCAGGTTTGCAAAGGGGTGAGACAAGGCTATACACTGTCCCTTCATTTACTCAACCTACATACTCAATTTATGAGGAGAACTGGTTTGGAAGATTAGTGTGGTTTTGAAATTGGAGGAAGAAACATCAATAACTGGTACTATGCTGATGACACTGTTCTGATAGCTGATAATGCAAATGCTCTGCAAGCTCTCCTGAAATCCAGGAGCACATTGAAAAATGGGATTAAGATTAAAGATTAAGACGACCAAACTGACGACAACAGGTACAGCAAGCAGTCTTACAACTGACAATGAAGATATTGATATCTGTCTTTTAGGAATGAGGGTCAACAATACAGTCAAAAACATAATTTTGATTAGCATTTGATAGAGCAGTAATGAAGATCTTGAAAAGATATTCAAATACCATGATGTATCTATACCTACAAAGATTAGAATCATGCAGGGAATAGTTTTACCTATGACACTCTATGGAAGTGAAAATTGGAATTTGAAGGAGGACAGAAAGAATATTGATGCTTTTGGACTTTGGATTTGGAGAATACTCCTGAGAATAACAATGCATAGCCAATAAACAAACAAATGGCTCATATAACAAATCAATCCAAAGTTCTCACTTGAAACACAAATCACCAGGCTCAATTATCATATTTTGGACACATTGTGCAAAGACCTAGCTCTTCTGAGAAGCCTATAATGCTGAGAAAAATGGAAGGACAACAGTTAGGTTGATGGACTCAATTACAGCAGTGATGATTACACCATGAGAAGACTGGAGGAACTATGCTGGGACAGATCATCCTGGAGGTAATCTAGTTCTGTGGTTGCTAAAAGCTGACATTGACTTGATGGCACATAATCAATCAATCAATCAATCAATCAATCAATCAATCAATCAAAATCAATCAATCTCCCAAAAGATCCAATGGAATAACTAGAGCATATCTGGAGAGTAGAGGCATCCTGAGTCTAGTTCACAAAATTTAGAAAAGTTTAAAATGAAGTGACCATGGCTATGCCCAATCTGTCAGCTGGGATGGGAGACTTCACTGCAACAGCAAGCCATTGTACGGTAGCTTTTGAGAAATTTCCCATCAACTTTATCATTTATTTATTCCTCTTGGGCAGGAAGCAGCTAAGATTTTAAATGATTTAAAAAAAAACATATGAAGAATTTCCTGTAGAGCTAACCAGTGAGGTAGTTCTCACTGCATCACAAAGGATCCAATAAACAATATTTTGTACTATTTCACTGTAAGGCTACAGTATCTCTCAAAGGCTCAAAAATGATCTTAGAACTTCAAAAGTTTTGGAATGGCCACAGAATAATAAAATTCTACTTTTGGTTGCGGTATTTCCAAACAAAGAAAACAAAGGTTTGGATATGTTTAGTTGGCTTTGATGAAACAAAATAAAGATGATTCTGCTCCTGAAATTACATGATAAACAAATCATAGGCGACAAATATCAATGCATGTTTAATTGGGTTTGGTCTGATAAGACACAGAAACATCCTGGAGAAAGGATGTGGTGTGCATCTGTGTGTGTGTAATAAAAAGAATTATTTAAAAGGTCCTTAGCCTTAGCTTGATTGGACCATTTGCTGTAAAATCCACCTCTGATTTGCTCATGACTGGAGGTGGGGTGGGAGAGAGGGTACTGGTAAAGCAAATCAGCTAGGTATATCATCTTGGCCTATGTTTGCAAACAGTCAGGTAGTTAGTAAGCCACACACATTCAATCTAGATTTTTTCTTCGGCAGAAATAATATTTCTTTTAACAATGCATACTGATCTTTTCCCGACTTCTAGAATCGAGAGGGATTTTCTCTTGCTGCCCAGTTTTAGAATTCAGAGGGAGATAAACAGTTACCTTTTAAATAAAAGTGTCATATTTTGGTCACATCCAAGACTCCCACAGGTGTACCTTATGTAATTTTTAAAATATGACAATTTCTAATTTTATGTGCACTGAACTATCCCTTCTTCTGTATTTGTTACCACCTAAATTAGGTTTAAACTACTATTTCTAAAATGATTGAACACTGATTTGGTTTGCCTAACTGAACTACCCCCCGCAGCCAAAAAAAGAATGTTGGAAGTTTGTAGACACCTTTCAGCAACACACTATCCCTGGCCCACATTTTACCACCTTAAAATAGTTATTTTTGTTCAGTATCAATATTATTCTTATTTCTTCACATCTTATCAAGTGTGGTTTCAAGAGAAATGATTACATGATATTAGTTGCATTGTTCCTTGTTACAGCCACAAATATATATATACATTATATACCGAGAATATAGTTTTCCCTTATGTCAAGCTGAAACTTACAGCAAAGCTTTCTACTTTTTTAAAAAGGAAAAGAACAAACTGGAAGTGGAAATATTAAATGAGAAAGTAGAAGTAGAATAATGAAGTAAGTAGAATAATGAAGCAAAAATTAGGAACTAAACCTAAGACAAGAATGCACCTTCAAAAATTAGTCAACATATTTATGCCTGAGATTTTAATTAAATATTTAACCTCTCAGATTACAGAGTTTATATTTAACTTTATGTTGTAAGTATGCCAAGGTTCTGTTAAAGTTGGGTGTTGAAAGCATTACTATACCAGATAAAATAATAGAAAGAAGCAAAGAAATTGTACTATATATTAACTAGAAAAATGTTATAGCATACTCTTAAAGAAGAAATCTTTAGATTAAAATAAAAAAATATTTAAACAGCATTGAACATAAGTAACTAATCTTTATTGCCAAATGTTGGCAACTATGGAGTTTTCTTATGGTTACATGGAATGAAAATGCTGGATGCTAAGGGTACAGGGAAATCTTTTTAATCAGAAGAGAGGTAACCGTATTAATCTATTGCAACCAAACAAGAAAGCATTCTGTGGTAAATTTCACCAGAAAACAGATGGACTATCACATGTAATTTTGCAGATTAGAGAGAAATTCTTCTGTTAAATTTGTGTCATTTCCCCTCAAAACATGAAAATACACATTTTCTTTGTTTTCCTTATTTTCAATTCAACAACTGCATCACAATTTGACCTGCATGCTGGTAACCATTCTGTGCAGCTCTTGTTTTCTAAGATGTTAATATGAGCATCCAAAAATATGGAAGAAGTTTCCATATGGTTTATTTAGAAAAAGCAGGAAAAAGGAGTAAAAGATTGTGAGCAGCTGGTAAGAGAGAAAGACAGGTTTGTGGTAATCGGGAGATTGTGAACAATAAAACAGTTAAGATTAATTGGAAAACTTTTATTTTTAAAAAAGAGTTGTGGACTCTTTCTAGAATGAAATGTTTTTCTACTATTCACTGAATTGTTTTTCGGTTCTGTACTTCTTTCACTAATTAACATGTATGAAGAGTAATGTACATGACATAATACAGGGGTCATAGACCTTGCTATGGGACATTAGTATGCGTTCTGTTAATGATTGCGTGATCATGATCATAACCAATTATGGATCCCTGAGAGCAATACACTAGTTTAGATAAAAACAGTTTTTAAATGAGTCCTTTGTAGGAATGTGCACAGTATTTTGCATAGCAAAACGTAAACATTCATTTGTTAGATTACAAAGGTCTGATGATAAATTGATACACACAAGAAAATGAAATCAGTTTCAGTTATGTAGACAGAGTGCCCCCTAGCCTTCAACATGTAGTATTTGTTAAAAAAAATACATGTAGTATTTATAAAGTATAGACTTTTTACTTCATTCTCAAATATATTGCTAAAAATAATTATTTTTGCTATATGTGTTTTTATATCACAATAATGTTTAAAGTTGGTGAACTTCTATTACTAATCTTTTAGATCTTAGCATCAGGATTGTGCCATGCTTTGGATTCAAAGGGGAGAAAGAGCTTTGGTGCACATAGGGAGCAAGATGGCTACTTATCAACAACTACTTAAAGGAGCTATTTCTTTTCCTGGGATCACATGGGTACCCTCCACAGCTGCAGTGCATTCATGGAAAAAGACAATTAAGAAACTGCCAACTGGTATATAAATATTTTAAATAAATAAAAAGAATGGTGATACACACAATATGTGTGTGTGTATCTATATCTTTATCTGAAGGATCTTTTTTCCTCCAATTTATAAATAACTAAATAAATCTATCTTTGTGAAGGATCTTTTTTTCTCCAATTTAAAAATAAACACATCTTTCTGAAGGAACTTTCTTTCCTCCAAATCTGAAACACTGCATAGCCCTGATCAGTTGATGAGCCTGACCGCTGATTATTATTACTATTATAGGCGGTCCTCAACTTATGACCATTCGTTCAGTGACCATTCAGTTACAACAGTGTTGTACTAATGGTGGTTATGACCAGTCCTCAGAGTTCTGGCTGTCCCAGCACCCCTGCGGTCACGTGGTAGCGATCTGGGTGCTTGGCAATTGGTTTGAACTTATGACTGATTGCAGTGCCCCATGATCATGTGATTGCCATTTGCAACCTTCCCTGCCAGCTTCCCCAGAAAGTCAGTGGAGAACCCAGCAGGGAAGGTCGCAAGTTGCAGGGGTAAGTCTCCTCCACCTGTGCACCCTCCCCCAACCCCTCTGTGCTTGCGCTGTGCTGGCCACTTGTGCAATCCCTCACACCCTCACTGACCCACACCATATCTCTTGTGCACCCCTTCATGAACCCTTCCTGACCCACATCTCTCACGCACCCCCTTGCACCCCTTCCCATGCCACCTCTCTTGCAGAGCCCCTTGCACCCTCTCTCATCCAGCAGCAGCCACTTACCTGCCTGCTGACCTGGGACTTGCAACTTCCTGACAGCTTCTGCACTGACTTTGGCTGTGGGAAGCTGGCAGGAAGTTGCCTTGCCTAATGACTGTGGGATCTGGTTAACAATGGCAACCGAAACTGCAGGGATTGCCTTCAATAAGTGATGTGATCGCGCTTTACAAACCGCATCTCTTAGTGATAGAAATTCTGGTCCCAATTGCTGTTTTAAGTCAAGGACTATATGAGGTCTCAACCTGCCTAAGTTTTATGATTGACTTCATCACTATTAAAGGAAACAAGAGGTACCAGAAATATTTTTGCAGTTAATAGATCCTAAAAAATCCAATTAGGGTTCACAACTTTTGACAAATTGCTATTTTCAAGGGTACATATTTCTTCTCATTTGGATATTTTACTGGATACTACGAACCTGAGAAGAAATAGCACTAATAATATTTTTGAACTTTAGGAAAATTCCAAAACAGAAACCTGTATTGTTTCTTGTTCAGGTTTTGTTTATGTATTTATACATTTATGAGTTTATGGCAAAATATCAAAACAAAATACAGAAACTTATCCCATGCTCTGCTCTGCTCTACCACCACATAAAACAACCAGAAAACAAAGTTCATCTTTCTAAATAGAGCAAAAGTATGTAATCAGATCAGACCTGATTTACTCTATAGAAGGTCTCAATGGAGTGGTGTATTCAGTAAAAAGAATGTATGAATAATATTATGACTAAGAATTCTGCAAATGAATATTTGGGAGCAAACAATGTTGATGGATAACATTGACAAGAGCAATAGCTTTCTTTCATCCTCTTTCATCCTGCCCAGGAACTCTGACTGATTATTTGTGCTCATATTGGAGAACTCAAGGTTAGGCCTCAATTTTACAAACTATCAATTTAGGTGGACAATATACAGATTTATACTGTACAGAGATTAATATATTTATATTGGGCAATAAACTAGACTTAATCATACTTATTCCAGGCCCATCATAGCATGGGGCAGAATCAAGCTGATCTTGAATGCTCTTGAGAAAGCTAAGTGAGGTCAGATCCAGTTAACATATGGGTAGGAAATCCTAGGTCTGTACAAAAATTTGGGCAATTAAAAAAAATCTAGCTTCCCATATGCTGTGTATTAGCATACAGATATTAGAAGCTACAGGTATTGCTCCTTACCAGTTTCTGTAGAGCACACATACCTGAAGTTTATTGGCTCTGCTTCTACTGCCTTTCATCCTCATTTGTCGCTGTGTTGCTGTTAACATTCTATATTCAAATACAGGAAAGCTATATAATTAAAAAAAACACACACAATGAATGGTTTGAATACAGCATTGCATTTAGAAAATTCTTGCTGTACAAAAAAAGGGAAGAATGACAATTTTCTCCATTCCATTTGTTTTGCGGTGAAGAGCCCTCTCTGAAGTAAATAGACATTTGCAGAACATAGGAACCAGCATTAAAGTTCCAGTAATTTATCAGGGAAAATCACTGCCCTATCTTTCCCCCAAAGTGGGAAGTCTCTTTTGGATCACAGTTCTCTCCCAAAAACAATTGCAAATGTTAATCCAAACCTATATAATTTAATGCTGACATTATAAATGCTGTGATACTACTTAGCTGTATACAGGATAACTTGTGAACAAGTTCAAATTTACTGTCCTGTAAGAGTGTTATTTGAAATAGCCAGATGTCAACTTCATTTTTACACCTCACAGTGCTTAATGTTCAGCTCATGATTTTAAGAGATCATGGTACACATTTTCATTATTTGGATCTAGCAGTGCTACAGTCTGATGTCTCACAGAAGACTAAAAAAACCCCCCAACCCTTTGAGTTATGAAATGAGGATTCATCCGCTGTTCAACTCTTTGGTTTAGTTACTAAGACACTGAACTGAAAGAAGTTCATGAAAGTAAAATTTCCTATGCTTTCTTCAAGGATCTTAAAGAATCATGAAACTTCTTTCAGTATTTGTTCCTCCTCCATCAGCAATCTGCAACCTCCTGCATGATTTTGAGAACAGTCCTGATCCTCTAGAATGGCTGCTGCAGGAGGGAAGAGGGGATGAGAAACTTGTTAGGATCTAAACCAACAATGCATTAAAAAATTATGAAGTGAGCAAATCACCTATGATGCTTTAGCTCACAATGCTGTTTCTGGTGTGATGCTGAACATGTGTTATTTGCCCTAGACATGATCATATACAGTATACTGTCAAGAAATGCTGTTTAATATTACTGTTCTTTCAAAATAATCCATTTTTCCCACAAAAATATATTATTAATTGTACATACTTGATTCATTAAAAATTAAGCCTACCTTCATATAGTTTTTTTCCAGGAGCATTACATGGCCATCCATTTGTTTAGAAACTTTAAAATATTGTTTGCAATGTTGAAGCAATACTTCGTTCAGCATTTTTCAGATAATATAGCCTGAATTATCCATGGTAAACCGCAGTGACGAGAGGTCTTTCCATTTTCCCAACATTGCTTAGGGAAGATTCAAAGTATGAGAAATTTTTGCAGTTGAATCTTGCTAGTACTTCTGTGCTGCAATTACCTGAAGAACAAAAACATCTTATATTGATGTCTCATTTATTTCAGTGTTGTTTGCAACAAAATGCATCCAGTCTGGCTTCTAAAAGCATTCAGAACTTCACCAAGAAACAAACAGAGTCAGGTTCAGGTTATCATTGTCCAAGTAGTCATTTATCATGGTGTGTTTTTTCATTGCTCTATAAAGAGACAATATGTTTCCTACTTTCTGAAATTTTATAGAATTGTAGTCAAATTATTTTCATCTCTTGGCAGAATGAAACCCTTTCCAAGAGATAACTTAGGATCTGCTAAACTGCATAACAATATAACATCCTTGGTTATCAATGATCTATGGGTCAGCCTCCATAAATACTCATTTAAGAGATTCTAGATTCTACTTCCATTAAGAATTCAGTACTTTTAAGTATTTCAGTCTTCACTGTAAATCTTGAAATATTAAAGCTTATATTTAGTGATTTTTTTTGTTTTGCCTAAATGAAAACAAAAACAGTCTTCTATTGTAATGAAACGCTCAATGTATTCTATGAAACACATTTTTTTCTAATTATCGTTATTGGTTATAGCCAACTTTTCTTAAAACATAGGCATAGGCAAGGTTAAATCTCCTATCAAATCAGAACCATTCTTGTTTAGCTTCCTGAAGGTCACTATATTAGTGACACCAATTAGGCACTTTGAAATTCTAATCTTTGGATATACCAAATACTATTCTAGGATAAAATTCAATGGCTTGGAATCTAAAATAATTTAAGAAAATTAATGGAAGTATATGCCATTCCTTCCAGTTTAGTTACTTCTGATCTTTAGAAAAAGTGCTATAAGTCAGGAAAGAGGACACAGAAATTGCAGCAGAAAAACTTTTTTTAAATAAACTTTTCTGTTTTAGGGTCTTAATACAATATTGGATGATACCATCCCTCCTACCCCTGTATTTTACTCTGTATAATTTGGCACCTTCTATGAAGAAGGTAGGAAAGGGACAGGAAGTTGCAGGTAAAAAACAGACCAAACAAAACAAACTCAAGTCACCTGATCTTTGGATATCCAAGCTGACATGTCTTTCTAATAAGACATATATCAGTGCCATTGTAATATAAAATACAAATCAAAAAGGCTTATTAAAGAACAAAAGAGAGCAACTTCCTGCTTTTTCTTAATCATCTGCTTAAACTGTTTTAACAAACACAACATTTAACAGAATTAGGAGGAAGTATATTTACTTGGTCTAAAGAACTTATACATCACTTTGATAGGAAACTCTATTTGGATTCTTTGAACTATTTTAAATGCTTAATAACTAATAAAATACCTACCAGTTTTGAAACTCATTTTGCTACATATCTTTAAACTTGAGCCTTGATCTCACGAGAAAGTCCTCTTCGATTCCCCAGGCTTGAGAACATTTGTTTCAATGCATGAACTTCATCTGAGGTCAGGTTGCCAGTTTAGCAATTTAAAGTGTGTTTCAAAAGATTTTAGTGCACTGTATATATGTAAACTAAGCATATGGCTTCAATGCCTTGTTTTCTATATTGTTTTATTCATTATGAAGTAGAAAAATGACAGTGATTCAGCTCTTTTCTTGAATATTGGGGGGTTGGGATTGCCACTTGGAATGGTCTCTCTCTTTTTTTTAAATTTTTTAAATTTTTTCTCCATTATCATGGGCCACGGGTATAATTTCATTATTGCTTTTTTCTTTTTTTTTTTCAAGACCATTCCATTTCTTTATTTTTTAAACATCTTAAGGTGATAAAGAGATATATGCAAAGCAGTCATACACTGTATCATTAAAACTCATACGTAAAATACGTACACAAATCCAACAAAAGGCTAGTACATAGTAAAGCCTAAGCATACTACTATGCAATATTATGAATACATAACTTTAGAGACTTCAGTTTAGTACTGTTATCTATCATTTCTGAAAACATTCACAAAGATCTTAAATGCAAATTTTCATTCCATACTTGGAATAAAACAAACAAACAAAGAATAATCTATGTTGTAACAACACTTGGTCATTTTGGTGTGTGACCAATTATTTTAAATTACAAAGAATCCAAAGAATTCTGTAATGTTTCCATAGAATAAAAACATTGCATATGTTCCTAATACGATGTCTGTAGCAATCATTTACCGAAATGTAAATGCAACTTGAACATCAATCACTCAAAATACAGGATCAATCAGCTGCTTGTTTCTTATCTGAAATCCATCTCTTTCATCCAATTTCCTTGTAGTACAAATATGCAAAAGTACATTAGGAAATGTTAATGCAACATAGGTAAATCTCTAGTGCTGTCTGTAATCAGATGAATCATCTTCTCCAAGAACGAGATTCATTGTCATCATCATCTTCATCATCATCTTGAAGCAATGAGTCATCTACCAAGGATTCTTCCTGAAACTAAAAGAAATTTTTAATAAGACTCTGCTTGAAAAATTGAAGAAATGCATCCACTAGAATTTGACCATTTTTAAGACTATGAAAATCTGCACTTTGAAAGGAAAATTAAAAAACATCATCGTCCATCATTAATATTTACTTTATTCAATATAGAGATACCAAAATGAAAAGGATCTTTAAAGACCAAAATACTTCTGGATGAAGTTCAATTATTTGTGTCAAACTGTTATGCTGCTGTAAATGGAATAACAAAATTTGAAAAACAATTCACTTTCTAGCACTGAATTTACACAAATGACCAAATTACTTAGGTTTTCCCAGTCAAACAGCTGATATCTAAAATTACTTCCATAGATTTGACTCAAAGCAGAAGGGCATATCAGGCAAACTACACACAAACCTGTGTGAAGCTTCTAGACTGCGTTCTCTATACTGCCTTACTTCCATAGATTTGACTCAAAGCAGAAGGGCATATCAGGCAAACTACACACAAACCTGTGTGAAGCTTCTAGACTGCGTTCTCTATACTGCCTTACTTCCATAGATTTGACTCAAAGCAGAAGGGCATATCAGGCAAACTACACACAAACCTGTGTGAAGCTTCTAGACTGCGTTCTCTATACTGCCTTACCTGTAGTTTCAGTTAGTGAATTCCAGGTCTTTACTTGTATATAAACCATGACTTGGCATTTTAAATGACTAGCAAAACAAACCAGGGTTTATTTATGGCTTGTTTAGCAAATGATTACATTTATTTAGATTTTTATAAAGAAGCAGCATAAATCCTATCATAAATCCCATCATTATCTGTAAATATGGCAAACAACTATATTAATCATCATGTGTCTAAAATTTACTTCAAACTTACGTTAACAATCTTGGCTTGTTCAGAAAACCCAGTTAACATTTATCATAATTCCAACATAGTATATAAGAAATCATAGTTGAACAAGGGATTAAAACTTCCAATTCGTTACAGAACACTAAATTATGTAAATTCACATGGAGTCTCACCCATGTTTATCAGTCCTTAGCATAAAGCAATATAGCATTCCCGAGACTACCTAGATTTTTTTTTTTTTTTTGCAAAACTCCCCAACATTTAAATCCTCACAGCCATATTGCTGCATATTTTTGGAAGACACACTGCCTAACTATCTCTTTGTTTTTATGACTATACCCCTGAGGTACAAGGACTGATCTACAAAAGTACATTCACTATCTCAGGCAAGGATAAAGCAGAAGAAAAGCTTAATTGTCTGGAAACTGGATCTTGAATGGTGTGTTAATGTACCAAAATTTCCTTTATCACAAAAAATAAACTTTAAAAAATATTTAAATAAATACATGTAAACTTCTTGCAATTCATATGAAATGCTGGTTTGGAAATAATCAATTTTAGAGAAAAAGTTATTGAAGTAATTTCCACAGATGAAATATGTATCTTCTAGGAGGTGCTTACACAAAGGTCAAAAATGAAGACCATAAATAATGAAATAAATGACCTGACAATGGAACAGCAACTCTGATAAAATTTATGGTGAAATCAGTATAATTCTGCACTCATAATTTACCCTACAACTGATATTTCGAGGATCTGTTTATTATATATATTTTATTTCAACACTCACAAGTATCTGCATTAGCAGCAGTGGTGAATTTTTATCTTTGAAAAAACTCACATTCAAGACATACTAAATGCTTGAAGACACTTTGGAAATCTATTATGTATGCAAATTTATTGAAGAGAGGAAAAGTCTACTTTAGTAATATTTTATGAGAATGTACATTAATACAACTTGTTAAGTAAACCATAGGGAACCAATATATGTAGGACAGGAATATGCAGGACAGAGGTTTATTTAGGGATTTGGAAACTATCAATGTGAAGTCATCACTTCAATAAATGCTATACATGCACCACAACTTACAATCCTAGATGGTAAGGTCACACTACAATGAAAAAAAGCTGTATTTACACTACCCAAAGACAAAAATTACGAACCATAAGATCTGGGTATCAGCTTTCTATGAGTATTTAGCACCAAATTAGCAATATTATGGAAGTCTTCTCTTTTTGAGACCATCAATTTAGTACTATGGTTTGGAAGAATCAAGCTGAAGTATCTTTTTACTCAAAAGGCTATGGGCAAACCACTGAATCAGCCTTAGGTCTTTTAAAGAATAACTGCTTAACTCTGTTAGTGGCAAAGATGCAGGTGAGAAGTATGAAGAGTATGCCATTCCAATGCACAGTACACGGGGTATCAATGAATTTCAGAAGCCATTCTTACTACCTGGACAAAAATATACTCCTCAAAATAGAGGCTACCTGACATTTGCAAAATGATGAAATAAAATAGTATTTTTACTTCTCTCTCTAGCATGATGGAAGCCTTGAGACAAGTTGGCATTAAACAAGTCTGAGAGATAAAGTTGACTCTTGTTTTTAAGAGGGTGTTTTTAATTACTTTCTAACTGGTGCTGTCTTTTCATTGTTTCCCATCTCCATTTGCAATCAATTTCCTTTAAGAGATACTGCATTCTTAAATGTAAAAAGGGTGAGCACCTCTCTTAAATTAATCAGTAGTTGTCTCCTCCAAACATTTCTGATTGAAAAAAGATGTAGGGTGTCCCAGAACAAAGAAAGTGATAAAAGTTTATACTCCTTCCCCTCCTTTATACACTTACTTCTTCTTCATCTGGCTCAGTCTCTTCTGTTTCCACAGTTGACATATTTGTTACTGGCTTGTTCCAGGCCAACTTCAGGTCTTGCCCTTTAAATCGAGATCCATGGATAGCAGCCTAGAGGCAATAACATTTTTAGAAAAAAATATATGCCTGCTATAATCAATTGCTGAATTCACTGTACAAAGGGAACAGAACCAAAGACCAGATGAACTGTCTTTGAGCTCCCAAATATTCTTGTGTCCATTGGACTGCAATTTAGCATGCTACACGGCAAGACATTTTTAAATAAAGTGAAATATCAAGCACCCTATGGTATATCATGGAGTCTTGTTGTTTCAAGGAAAAGTAGTAAGAAATCCAGGGAGCAAATGCAGCTCTTTGGCATACTTCTAGTAGCTTTATGATTTCCATTACCAGTTATCAACAGAAGTTAAAATAAGCCCTTGTCTCTCATTGCAGAGGCTCCTTAAACGTAACATAGGCTTAATATTCCATTAAATTATTTCAGAGTTTATAATCAAGTGTATGAAAGTACTTTCCATTTTTACAACCCCCCCCTTTTGTAGCAATGCGCTCTCTCTCTCTCTCTCTCTGTGTGTGTATATATATATAAAAATGAACGTCAAGTTGAAGTTCTCAAACCTGCATCATACCATATTAACAGCCAACTGTTACTGAACAATTTCCTTATTTGTGTTGTGCTTCAGAAATATTGATATTTGTTAGTATCAATATGCTTATAATCCAAAACATGGGATCCTGATAATACAATGGGTCAATAAATAAATAAAAAATAAACTACATGAATCTAATTTATCTTGCTGTAAAACATTCTATTTTCAGCAAAGGCCTGGTAATTGAATTGTTAAAAAAAAAAACCTATGGGATATTCATGCCTTCATAAGCATCAGATACATTAAGTGCTTGCTTTGGAAATAGTACCTCCAAATTAAAGTAACATGAACTAGCATAAATCAGTGTTAGCATCATTCTGAAATAATAACTGCCATGGTCAAAGAAGATTTATAGTATAATCTGAAAGTACAGCATAATGTGAAATGTGGAAACAATTACATGTCCAATGACGTCTGAACATGAATTGTGTGATATTAAAGTCCTCAGGTATAAATTTTAAATCTGTACATATAAATTTATGATAAATTTTAAAAGATACCACAAACCTATTAAAATGCAACTCAGGAGAGTTTTTTGTACATGGTCTTGTCACAACATCACAAAGTGGGATTTTAAAGAATGAGTATATATGACATTTGAGTTAAAAAAAACCTAGTAATCTCTGAAAGAAATTACAGCAACATAAAAATGTAACATTTCATGACTAGGGAATCATCCCAAACCCAAATGTATGTGATCATAAAATGTAACCTTTTTTCATTCAAGGCAATAAAATATTAGCTACCTTCCTTCAAAGAAATCTTATGAACCTGAAACTAATTGAGAAATGAACTTCTATAGGCTGTTATTTTAATTTATACATATATAATGTACAGTATTCAGTTTACTGACAAGTAGAGAGTTGATTTGTATAAATTCTATTTATACATATTAGCCTTCATTTTTAATCAGGCTACCCTGTCCGTAGGATTTTACTTGTGGCATAATTCAAATTCACATGTTCAAAATTTAAGCAAACTGTGATTTGAAACTAGGAAATGAATTATTACATTCATATGAGCATATGCTGTGCTTTTATAGTTCCAACTTTAGGGTACAAATGTTCCCAAATTGAGATTTTTTTATTTTTAACTGAACTTTGGGCATTAAGTGATTAAATATTATTAAAATTAATGACATTTTAAGATATTCCAATTTTAGAATATTCACAAATTGGAGAACAATGTAACAAAAATATTTTGCATGAGCTGTCCTTGGAACTATTTAAGTTTCATATTAAACATTCTCGATTCTTGATCTTCAATTAAAATAAAAGGAGAAAATAAAATAAAAAAGATAGTTCCATACTCTTCCTAGACTCTGTTTCCACTGCCAGTGCTCTAGGAAACAGCTAAATGAATGCTGGAAATTATATATTCAGACAATGTTCATAGCCAACAGCCATTATACCTCGCCTCTGGTATCTCAGATTGTGATGCAAACATCTGAGGAGATTTCCCAGGAACACTTGATCTGCTGTATTTAATTAAATAATTTAAACTAGGATAATAATATTCATTACAACAAATATCGCAAACACAATTGCCTGAAACAAAAAGGCATTATATAATTCCATCCATCCACCCACAGAGTATAAAACACGCAGCTTAGTATAAAACACAAAGCAGATATATTTGCAGAGCTCTCTTGAAAAGTTTTAATAGCTTTCCTAAAGCTGAAAAGGATGGGAGTTAATCAGACCATGGGAGATAAAGTGCTCCAAAAATGGGATATTTGAACATACTTTACCTTCAAATATAAAAGCCTATTTGAAGAAAAAAAAGAAAAGAGGATATACTTACTGCTTCCGCTTCTGCTCTTGTCTTGAAAGTAATCACTGCATGGAGAGAAGAATCATCTATCTGGCAGTCTTCAATTTCACCATATTGCTTTTAAGAGGAAAAAAAATCTCAACTAGGCAAAATATTTCTTCTCTATGCTAACTTTAAACTTTGAACATTTAGATACAATTTAATAGTCTCCACTGACAATGTTTAATTATTCTAAATCTAAAATAACTATAGAACCACCTTTAAAAAAAGTTAAGCTTAAAAATGGTCTGAAAGGAAACTGAATAGAAAGCAGAGAATTTTAAGCACATTTAAATAAATCGAGGAAAAATAATTTAGATTTTTAACACATTATAGATTCCATTTCTGAATATAAAAACTATAGTAATCTAAAGAATTTAATAAATTAGATGTACCTAACATCTAATTTAGAAAATTTCATGATATGGATTTTGATCAAAAGACAAGATACCCTCAGAATACATCATCTAGAACTATCTAGAAAATCGAGGCACTGTGCTTTATAAAGGCCAGAAATATTATGTACACCAGCTTGCAAACTGATTTATTTGCAGCTGCACACAATGTTGCAACATACTGCACATAATGGCTTAAACTGAGATACTTCATGGAGCAATACCTGCTAGACATGTCAGTTTGAAGGACTACTTTTTACCTTAAAAAAATGACAGGTTTTCAAAGAGAGCAAAACACAATTGCAGAACAAACCTTCAGAACTACCTAAAGGTTTTATCAGAATAATCAAACAAGCACTGTGATATTATGATGCAAGATTCGTGTGTGATATCATGATGTATGTACCAAAGGCACAGACTTTATATCATAGAGTGTCAACCCAACCCAACCCAACATTAGAAGTCAGTGACCCAGACACACTTATTTTTACCCTTTCCTCCATGGCTGACAACCATGCAAATTTGCCATTTTCTATCCTGTCCTGTACTTTTTTCACACCTGCAGAAAAATGCTACAATAGTTGTCTAATCTAAGGAATATCTGAAGTTCAAGATATTTAACTTGGCCTGAGTATTTCATCAGTCACAATGAAAATGTCAAGGGAGGTAAGAAGACAAATATGTATCTCATTAAGATTAGAAGAGTTAGGTAGGTACATACCGCAAAATGAGGAAGGAGATCTTCCCTGTCATTCTCTGTAAAAGCTGAGATTTCAAGTGCCCGAGGACGATGATCCACCACAGCATGAACAGATACACCTCTTCCTCGACCCCGGCCTCGTACTCCCCTACCTCTCCCACGAGAGACACCCCGACCTCGTGTATGCATTCCTCTCCCACGGCCAGAGGAAAGAATTCCTCGCTTTGCTGCCTAGCAATAATAAAAATGATTCATAGAGGCGCAAGTGTGTTATATACTCTATCTGTATTTTCAACCTTAAAACAATTCTCTACATTCCAACATGTATAATGATAAGTGTAGTATTATTATCTTTAAATTGTATATGGTTTTTACAGAAGGATGCTGTAAGGTTAGGTGATGAAATTAAGGCAAAGGTGACCCTGTTCACTGGGTGACTTTGGGTCACTCATTCTCTCTCAGCTGAACCCTCCCAGAGGTTTCTTGATGTGGGAAAAATTAGAGGAGAGAATGCTAAGTATACCACATTGATGGAAAAAGAGGATCTAAGTCTAACCACATGCTTTGTAATTCATAGTTTGGTTCCTTGATCACGACGTTACACAGGTTTTCTTAAAAGAAAATGAAACTAAAGCAAACATATTCAAAATATACATGCCCAAATATATATACCATAGACTGGCCCAAAATTCAACTGAATGGACTGCAAGGGTGTGTGTGTGTGTTAATTTTTTCACACTTGTCTCCTGCACATTGGATGGTTTATGAAATCAATGAAAGAATCACCCAACTGTGCTGTTATTTGTCACTTAGATTCCTTTTATTTATCAACAGAACCCACATCAAGCTACATTTAACAAAGAACAATTTCTGTTAATATGTTATTAGTAAGAAAAAGGGGTAGTGAATCTTAAAGGTGAAGGGATAGGGTAGAGACATTTCAATTCAATAGTTCTAGTTCTAAACATCAATAGCACCATCTATGGGTACACAGTAAAAATGCCTGCTGCTCATTTTACTTACTTAGATTTACAGATAAAACTGCTGAAAGACAAGTGAACAGAAGTGTGTAGGGTCAAGACCTCCACTTGAAGACACTTTAATTTATTTCCATTTAAAACAATTTCTGCATCACACTGACAAGGAGTGAAACATCTGCAATGTTAACCATCAACAGTGAAATATACTTACTTCAAGCTGCAGTTCAGTATACTTTCTCCTTAATTCAGTAACTTCTTCTCCAGCCTGCATTTTCTTATATAAGTCCAACTCTGTATCCAGTAGTTCTTTCTGCATCTAAAAAGTTATGGAAGCAATTTGGTTTGCATTTTCTAACTCACATAGAAATATGAGATGAAATAACTAGATCCCACGGGGCTAAGAAGGTTGATAGATAGAAAGAGAAGTTCCCACCAGAGGTCACACACGTTAGCAGGTCTCTAAGTGAAGTAATACTGCTAAACAAACAAAAGATTTGTCTGAAGAGATAATTTTCAGCATAAAAAACATAATTCAGAATCTGGAAGCCTAAAAATATTTTCTTCATTTAAAACTGATTAAAAAAGCAAATTATGGCAATTTGCTTATGATGCAGAATTATTCAATTATCAGTCCATAAAGCACTGGACCAGTATGGGAAAGCTAGTGGGTTGAAACTCTATTCAAATATTTACACTGGAATAAAAGGGGATTTTTTTCCCACTGTTTCTCTGAAGGCAAGAATGAACTGTAAACACACACACATATATAGACACAATTGTAGACGTTAAAAACAAAACTAATTAAATAGTAACAGAGATGAAAGAGATCTGAAAAGAATAAAATCTGAATACCTGTGTCTTTGTTTTCATGTTTTTTAGTGGATTGCTTGCTGAGGAAACTCCTTTTAATTCGTCCTTTAACTTGGTGATACTGTTGGTTAATGTCTCCAGAGTTTTCATGATTTCAGCTTTGTCCTCTGACTTCATAGTTTTATTTTTCTCCAGTTTTGAAATCAGCATCTAGTGGAATTATCATTTTAGTAACAGGAATTATTTACAAGTATTTTCCACACACACACTAATCCGTGAAATCATAAAACATATGAAGATTATATTCATTCTAATACCTATGTTCTATAAGTTTTTCAAACTGAAATCCTGGATCCTATTCCATGCTTTAACAACAACAACAAAAATGTTTCCATGTAAAATTCACACTAATCAACAACAAAGAAAGAGAGGAAGAGCCCACCTACAGTACTTACCAAGATCTATTTTACTGGTCCACTTTCTCAAATATTCTGTTTGAAAAATTCATTCCCAAGAAAGGAAGTGAAACGTTCTCCCAAACTTATAAAGCTTTGTTAGATCCTTACCCATACTGAAAAAATACATAGTGTCTTACTGAATATGAACACAGGTAGTCCTTGCTGAGCAACTGTCTTGGACAGTGACCGTTTGTAGTTATGATGGTGATGAAAAAGTAACTTTGCAACCAATGTCTGCATTTATGACCTTTGTGTCTCTCTCTCATGTGTTTGCCATTAGTCAGTTAGTATGTGTTGTCCTGTGCTTTTTTTTCTTTTTGTTCCCCTCACAGAGGGGAGAGATTGCCTAAATAAGCTATCTCTTCCTGAGCTGCTTTTCTCCATAGCACAACACATCCCTAACAAGTGCTCACCACAAGTTAACAAGCGCAGCCCTGTGACATTAATTAGTTGATTGGAACCATTCAGCTGTGATGCTGCCTGACACTGACAAGACCCTAATCAATTTCACACTGAAGGTTTTTTTGTCCCCTAAGCAGCTGGTGGCTTGCAGCTGGAGCGCACTAGGCACAGCATGCACTAGCACATTCCTTTACATCTGTATTTCCTACCGTGTGCCTGCTTACTCTCTTGTAATCACTTCCTATCCAATGAATTTCAATATGAATATCAATTCCTTTCTTGCTAATTATCGCAGGGCTGGGGTGAGCATTCCAAAGGGCGGGGGAGTGGGGAAAAATGGCTATAAGATTTGCCCTTTTATCCGGCTTCCTTGTGAGTCAAGTTCTGGAAACTTCCCCGCTGTTTGGGCTCATCCGGCTGTTTGGGGTTGTATCCTTTGGATGCTGTATAGCAAAGGAAAGCTAAAGTAAAATAATAAGCAAAGTTGTGGTCACATGATTTTTCATTCAGTAACTGGTTTGCTTAATGACCAATTACAGTCACTAAACAAGGACTGACACTGACTCTCTCTTTGTCTCCCTCTCCTCTGATACTCCATTTAACTGCTTACACAATACAGTTCCTCCCCCCGACATAAAACTATCTTTATATCTTAAAGTTTCATATCTGACTCATGTTGGAGTTCTATTACCTTTTGTGTTTCAATATGTTTTTCTAGGATCTCTTGTTTTTTCTTCCTCACATCTTGCTGAAGTCTCAGTGCCTCCTAAAAATATAAAAATTCCAGTAAGCATCTCAATACCTTATAAAAACTAAAATGCCTCCAATTATACATATATGTACATACACACACAATGTGAAAATGTTAATTCATTAAAGCATGTATTCTTTTCTATTTGAAGAAATTACCATTATATATGGAAAAGAAGCCAAAACCATCCTACTATATTTTCACTAAATTAATACATATAATAATTATCTAACAATCACCATATCTGAACCAGATACTTGTACTAGACTTTCTCTTCTGGACAATGTATGGATATTTGTTCAATTTATATGCAGAAACAGACTAATTTAAAGGCATCATTGGAGGAAAGTAGGTTTGTCAATTCACTGAACGATATCAACTATATTCAAGTGCTATTATTATATTTAGAATCCATAATTTAATTACAGAACCCCTGAAAATCTGACAAAAGAAAAAAAATGTCCATAATTCAAAGATGCATTCTTCAACATGGGGTTGCCATCAGGTAGTACCATTGTGGTATTGTAAGTATATTTAATGCTTTCTTATATTTCAGATGTTTTTAGAGTATTCTCCATTGTTTGGGATCTAGAGAATATATAAATGTTATAGTTCAATTATAACTTACTGGGTGGATAAAAATTAATCTTGAAATACTGCAAAATTAATGTCATTCCAAATATATTGGATTTTCAATTTATATACATAGCCCAAGAGAAAAAAAAATTAAACAGCAAGACTGCTGTTCAGTAAATCTAAAGTGCTTTCTGTTTCCTGTGCCTGTTATACATATTCTGATTTAAATAAGAACACTATTAATGCACTCATCTATAACTATTTAAGAATTTATCTGGTAAGTATCAGAGATAAAAGGCATACTAGGTAATTACATGAATTCCTATCAAATGATATTAACAATGCATAAAAACAAGATGATATGCAAACAGGTTAATATGGCTTGCTGCACTCTGATAAAAACAGTAAATATTTGGTCTCCAGATATGATTAAATACACATACAAAACACTAGCAAAATCCAGACATTTGCAAATGAAGGTCAATGCCAGCCTTGTCCAATATTTGGACCCTTCCAGATGTAATGATCAACTCTCAAAAGTGTGGATACCAGTTGCCAGAATTCACAATTCACAACCACTTCTGAGAGTTAAAGTCTGTACAGTACAAGTGGAGGTTAGGAAGATTGTCTAATTCCATTCATATCTAAATTATACTCTTGCAGAAATATGACTTAATAAAGAGGATTTTATTTTACATATAAGTGGAATGCTAATTATTTTATCTGGTTATTCTGTGGTTGTAAAGACTAAATGCTGCAACAAGTTTGATTTGTTCTCTCATTGATGACAATTTTCCAATAAAATAAAAAGTTTGCAGAAGAGGAAGGAATTTCTGTTAAAAGCTTTTGCAAATAAATAAAAGTAGCAAATATAAAGCAATCACTCAAAAAAGTAGAAAAGGACATGTATATGAGCACTGTTAGTATCAGTTAACTGCTTTCTGTGAAAAAATGAAAAATGTTTGCATTTTTGTTGTTTTGTTAATTCCTATTCTAGAAAAAATATATATGCTTAAGCGGATTATTCTCCATTATCTCAGCAACTTCTAAAAACGAATTTCTTTTACTCTACACTAATAAGCCATTTTTTGCTTGATAATAAAATTCCCAGAACTTTACATATCTTTTTGAAACTTATTAAATATAATTTAGATTAAAACTATGCAGAATTATATTCTATTTGCTGCTTGTAGGTGGCAAAAAAACTAAAACCTGAATGGAAAATGCTGACAGTGTTTCATTATTACACAAACCAGGTACAAATGGGAAAAATACATATCTAAGGATCAAATAAAAATGCAAGAATTTCAGGAAAAACTACATATAAAAATAGATAAATCGTTCCTAGAAAAAGTAGTAGCAGGATCAGAATTATAATTTTGAAAGAGGGAAGTGAATTAAAGGGGGATAGGCAGTAAGGTTAAATATGCAGAAGAAAGAATTATATTAGTGCAAATCAGGAAAAAAAGTGTCAAAAAAATAAATAAATCCTGTACTTTAGTAAAAGCAGGATTAAATGATCTAGTTCATCTCCTATGTCCATAATGCTTGATAGACAATAATTTGTAATGTTGCTTTCTAATTTCTTTTGTTAAATCTCTCCCTTCCTCTTCCCATTGATATCAGATACCTATTTGCCTTCCTTTACAAACTTCTAATATGACTTCAAAATGTGACTAGCAGTACTTTTAGTTACCTTCCCACTGGCTAGATAAACATGAAAGAGTCTTGAGTACTGTCTAGTTCTCTACTGCTAAATTCTAACCAAAACAGAGATCCCTTCTATAATAGGATTCGCTAGTACAAGATGGGAAAAGAGTAGACTTTCGGTCAGCTACTGCATTTGGAAAAATTAATCTCCTATGCACCACAGGATCTCTGACAGTAAGTTACCATTGGGAAAAGTATTTGCAAATCTTGTATTACAAATGGAACAATTTATGGCCACTCCTCGAAGACTGAAGTAGCTGTTAAGTATGAGCTTGCATTTATGCAAAAGCCCTGCCACATATGCCAAAAACAAGCCATGGTTATAGAATCTGGCTGCTTATATATTTTAATCATTAACTTAGTGAGACTAACCAACAACTCCATGGCTCAGAAATGACAAAGAAATGCAGCCATTATGTATGACTGTAATGTAAATATAAAGGAAGCTTAAAAATGTCAGCTCTGAGGTGTTAATTACATAGCGATATTAAACTATACCTTGAAAACATGATGATTATATTCTGAAAGCTATTTATTTTATCTTTTGTAAAAATTAACATCCTCATATCTGCACATGAAAACCACATTCTGGACCCTCCTGATGATTAAAATGCTCATTAAAAGGCTTCAGCAGTGCAGACATGATCCACAATTACTTTTTTTCCTTTACCTAACTAACATGGAAAGGTATGCATTTAGGCAAATCTAACACTCTAACCATATTTGTGAGATATACTACTTGTTCTGCGCTAATTCCTGCTTCCTACATGACTTTGCTTTAAAATTCTGGTGCAGTCTTAAATGTACACCAGTATTTTTATTCTGCATGATAGCTTAAACCAGAGTTTGTAAATTATTTGTACTCATGATTGCATACTTGATTGGGAAAAAACACAAATGCACATACATATATACAGTTTCAAATAAATGTATTTTAAATAAGCATATATTTAGATAACAGGAAAGTGATAGGAAGAAAAATCTTCAAGTGCTCTCAATTTCCTAATCATAGTTAGAAGATCATAAACATTATGCTGCAACAAGAAAAATAGCCCTTATCCAAAAAACACATTAAATGTACCTGTTTTTTCTTCTGTACTTCAGTAGAATCTAACAGGCTAGTATTAACTACAGGCAAAGTTTTCTGAGCTGCCTTCAAAGCAGCTGGATTATATACTGTTTTTGTCAAGCCGGTAGAAGTAGACAACACCTGTAGTAGAAAAGCATTTAATTTCATTAACAGATTAAAATATTAAATTAAAAAAAGTAAAAACTCTCAAGTCAAACTCAACTCCTGATGATACATACTCATCTAAGTGTTTTCTTAACAATAACATACAAGAGAGCACTATTAACTTCTTCTAAAGATATTTTGGACTTCTCACTCTAGCTTGCAGTCCAGGAGTTTCCTAGTGGTCTTCCAACCTAATACAGACTAGATTTGCCCTCGTTTAAGGAGCAGCCAAGGTCTCAAAATATATTGAGTAGTCAAAGAGTGTTTATTATAATAATTATTTTGAATTCAAAAGCAGTAATACTGGGAGTTAAAGGTAGTTTAACTGTTAAAGCTAAAGGATAACTTTAAAACGATAAAATCAGAAGTTATAGAGTGCTCTTGAGTCAATATATGCTTTTCATAGAAACCCTGTTCCCCTCAAACATACAAAAAATGGAAATTTAAAAAGAGATTCTTTTTGTCTTATACTCAGGCATGCAATCTTCCACTATACCTTTGTGACCTTTGGTATCATAATATATGGAAGGTGGTATAAGAAAGAGCTAATGAATTTTGTACATTAAATGGTATATTGAGATTACGAATTGTGGTTTGTTATGGCAAATAATGGAGGTTTTCAAAATAATTGGTAACGTTCTCGCCTTAAAAGCTTGTTTTGATTAGCTTTGGTTTATTGGTTTTCTCTCTCATTTTTCCTATACTGATTCTCTTTTCACCTGCTTCCTTTTTCCCAAATACTTATGAGGTTTAAAGCCTATAGACATTTTATCCAACTTAAATTATCCTGGATCACTACATGCATATTGTATTCATCAAAGAATCTAAACTCACAATAAAAGACAGGAAGCTTTTAATTTGCAGTTTACAACTATACACCCACACTATTCAGTCTCTACCTCCTCTATTTTCCAATATGCAATTCCACTAGGTAAAATAAAATTATACTGAGTAGGATTATCATCCCGATAGTGCAAGTCACATAACCACAGATGCTAAGCAAAGAGCTGGAATCATCAAAGCAAAATATAGCCTAGCCTAGCAGGCATCATATGGGTGCTTTGTACTAGAACTCCGATAATCTCTTACTACTAGCAATACTGACAGAGGCTTATTAAAATGTTATTCCAAAGGGGTTGTTCTTGCCAAGAGCTTTAGAAATGAGACAGCACACTTCAGCAATTGCCTGCCACTATCTGCATTACCACACCAAAAGTCATTTTCTAATGTCTAGTAATTTGGTTGCTCCACACTTACAGATGCTGCATCAAATTCAATCTGGTTTTCCTAACCACTACCCGGGCATGCAAACTCATGCCAGAACAGCAACAATTTAGGTTTCGCTGAAGATGCCTATGTGAAAACAGCCTGGTTAGCAGCATTTCAACTGACTTCATTTCAGAGCTCTGTTATTGGTTTTAAAGAAGCATATAATTATTTTGCATTTAAAACATGTGAACATCTGCATTGAAGCTTACTCATGTTAATTATATAACAGTTTTTATATAATTATAAAAACCATTATAGTTTTCTTACCTTTTCTGTAGTTGGAGTAGGTGGTTTAGGCACAAACCCAAGTCTATCCTTAACAGATAGTTTGGTTACATTCTAGATGAAGAAAAAAATGAGATTTTTAAAAATGTTTGCAATATGTATTTTTAAATATATTTTTTCAGTTTTAAGGTAGCTATGTAAAAACCAGCCAATTCTGCTAAGATAAATAAAAGACTGCAGAAGGGTTATGTAAAATATGGTAAATCCCATTCGCTTCAACTATAGGATTTTTGGGCCTAACTTCAAAATATGATGTAACTTTCTGCTGGATAAAATATCAGAATTGGAGGAAAATAAGCTGCAAGCTGATTTAAAAACTAGTGAGCACATTATATAATAAATAATGGGAAAGGGCCTATTCAAATATACCATTCCCTTTTGCTATGCAGAAAAGAGAAGAAGAGCAAAAAGCAAGTCTATCATCTACAAGAGCTTTGGCAATACTGAATGCAACATATAGCCTTTTAATATCAACTAATATGGTATGAAGAAAAAACTCATGCTTGACTAAAGAGCTACAGCTTATAGACTGCTACTTGGTGGCATCGCAGAAGATGACCTTCTTTGTGGTGGGACCTATCTTGTAGAATGGGCTCTCTTCTATGATATGCTATATCCCAGACCGACATGTTTTAAGTTTCTTTGTGGAATCCTTAGGGTTCTCTAAGTTTGATTGTTTTCTTGCAAACGTTTCATTACGCAGCTAGGTAACATCTTCAGCGCTAGAATGGAATGGGGTTTGCTCTCTGTTTATACACAGTGGTATGCCCTGCCAGTGTTGGTGGGGGTGTGGGTTTTATTTTTTCTCCTCTGGTAGTTCCTTGATTAGGGTATTGTTTACAGCTTGACTGTATGTGTGGTGATAATCCTGATGTTAATCTCTGCTTATCTGGGTGATGATTGCTGGTGAGGAGATGTTCTAGTCTTTTGTTTTTTAATCTCTGCTTATCTGGGTGATGATTGCTGGTGAGGAGATGTTCTAGTCTTTTGTTTTTTAATCTCTGCTTATCTGGGTGATGATTGCTGGTGAGGAGATGTTCTAGTCTTTTGTTTTCCTTTTTATTGTCTCTTTTGAATAGTGTGTAGATATTGTTTATCTCTT